CCTTGCAGGCCTGTTCAGTCACCAGCCTTAAACCTCTGCCCAGTTCCTCCCTCTTTCTTCCACTTAGAGCAGTGGTGATGTTTGCCCACCTGCCCACCAGGTGAGCTTGCCCACCTGGGGAGGCAGCATGGCCGAGGGGGCTGACTTTGATGCCAAAAAGACCTGGGGCCAAATTCTGGTGCCATCATTTACCAGCTTTGGAAATATTATTTAATGTTTCCGGACCTCAGTTTCATCGTCTATAAAATGGGCACAACCACTTCAGTCACAGACTCGGTTAAAAGTAACAGAAACCCAGTGGGCATGGTGGCTCATGCTGTAATCTCAGCACTTGGAGGTCAGGATGGGAGGGTCGCTTGAGTTCAGGAGTTCAAGAACAGCGTGGGCAACACAACGAGACTGCATCTCTACAATTTCTTTTAAATTAGCTGAGTGTGATGGCACACACCTGTGGCCCCAGCTACTCAAGAGGCTGAGGCAGGAGGATTGCTTGGGTCCAGGAAGTTGAGGCGCAGTGAGCCATGACCGCACCACTGCACTCCAGCCTGGTTAGCAGAGTGAGACCCTGTCCCAAAACAAACGAAAGGAACAGAAACCCATTCGCGCTGGCTTAAGCCAAAAAGAAAAAAGTGATTTATTGAGAGGACTCTGTGGTATGTCATAGAATCCAAGAAGGACCTGAGCTGAAGAAGGCTCAGCAATCCACAATACCACCTCCTGAGAGCGAGGGAAGGTGGGGGAGCCACACAGAACAGGCTTGTCTCAGGGCCCGGCACTCGGCCAGTCCTTACATGTTGGCTGGTATGACTGATAAGCGACTTGCACCCTACCCCGGTGTCTTTATCTGAAAAGCAAGGTTTCAGATCTAGACAAGAGATTTCACCACACGTGAGACCTTTGTGTCTGCTCTGTTAGCATCCTTAGCATTTCTAATTAGCCAGTAGAATTTTCCAGGCATACTTAGGGATTTGTTCTATCTCACTTGTCTAATTTTTCCAGCCAGAGCCTAATTTCTTTCTGCCCTGCAGCAGAAGCAGAGGCACTGGGCTGGGCTGCAGACAGGAGCCTAGGGCCAGGGAGGTCCCCTTCTGCCCTCCTCTGCGGTCCTGGAGCAATGCAGATGCTCATGGTTATCATCATTTCTGTGCTCACCTCGCATCTCATCATCCCCATGGTTTCTTCTGGGGCTCCTCGGGCTCTTCCTGGAGGTCCTCTGCTCTCCCTCTGCATGAAGCATCAACCGTAGCTGCAGGTGGCTGCTTTCCAGGGACCAAATGGCCAGGTGCCACACGGCCAGGTGCCACACACATAACCACCTGGGTGGCAAAATATTCAATCAAGCCACCGTGAGCCACACAAACAAACACAATGCTCCATGTGTCCAGCATAGCTTTGGAATCAGAAAAACCTGACTTTAAATCCTAACTCCACTGTTAAGTAGTTCAAGACAGAGTAAATTGTGTACTAGCCATATTTTTCCCCTAACCTTTTCTTATTTTGTAAAAATACATATTACATAAAAGTTACCATCTTTCCCGCTGTTAAGTGGACAGTTCTGTGGATGTAAGTACATTCGCATTATTGTGCAACCATCACTACCATGCATCTCCAGAACTCTCTCCACCTTGCAGAACTAAAACTCTACAGCCATTAAACCAGCCCTCATCCTCTCCTTCCTCCAGCCCCTGGCAGCCACCATCCTATTCTCTCCTCTATGAACCTGACTACTCTAGGTTCTTCATGTAAGTGGAGTCATTCCGTCTTGGTCTTTTCTTAACTGGCTTATTTCACTTACCATAATGTCCTCAAGATTCATCATGTCGTGGCCCATGCCAGAATTTCCTTCCTTCTTAAGTCTAAGTAATATTTCCTTCTATACGTACACATTCTGAATTTTGAATGAATTTTACCCATTCATTCATTGATGAGCACTTGGGTGGGTTGGTTGCTTCCATGTTTTAGGTATTGTGAATAATGCTGCTACAAACATGGGTGTAAAAATGTCTCTTTAAGACACTGCTTTGAGAATATACCCAGTAGTAGGATTTCTGAATCATATAGTGGTTCTACTTTTCATTGTTTCAGAAACCTCCATACTGTTTCCACAACAGCTACACCATTTCCATTCCCACCGACGGGGCACAAAGGTTCCAAGTTCTCCAAATGCTCACCAACACTGGTTCTTTTCTTTTCTTTTTTGTTGTTCTTAGCCATCCCAGCAGGTGTGTGGTTTTAGCTCGTGATCATTTTTCTTTGCATTCGCCTAATGATTAGAGGTGTTGAACATGCTTTCATGTACTTGCTGGTCAACTGTATATTTTCTTTAATGAAATATCTCTTCAAATCCTTTGCACATTTTTGAATTGGGTTGTTGAATTTTTGTTGTTGAGTTTTAGGCGTTCTCTGTATATTCTGGATATTAATCCCTTATCAGGTATATAATTTGTAAATATTTTCTCCCACTCTTTTTTTTGGTCCCTTTACACTATTAAATACTTTTGATGCACCAAAGGATTCAACTGTCATGATGTCCAATTTGTTTATTTTTTTTAACCTGAGCCTTCAGTGTTATAAAAGGGAAATCATTACCAAATCCAACATCATGAAGCTTTTCCCCATGTTCTCTTATAAGAGCTTTGTAGTAATAGCTCTTACATTTAGGTCTTTGATTCACTTTGAGTTTGTTTTTGCATATGGTGTTAAGTAAGGCTCCAAGATCATTCTTTTGCATGTGAATATCTAGTTTCCCCAGCATCGTTTGTTGAAAAGACTGCCCTTTCCCCCATTGAACGGTCTTGGTACCCTCATTGAAATCATTCAACCATATATGGCAAATAAACCAGAAATGGTTTATTGGGCTCTCCATTTCATTCCATCAGTTTATATGTCTATCTTTATGCCAGTTCCACACAGTTTTGATTAGCATAGCTCTGTAATAAGTTTTGAAATCAGGAAGTGTGAGTCCTCCAACTTTGTTCTTTTTTGAGATTTTCTTGGCTGTATGGTATTTCTAGCTTTAATTTTACCATCTGCAAAATGGGGATGATATTTGCACCTGCCTCACTGGATCACGTGTGTGTGTGTGTGTGTATGTGTGTGTATTAAATGAGATAAGATATGCAAAGCACTTAGCATTTTGCCTGGAATACAGTAAGTTATATATTTAAAATATTTAAAATTTCTATTGACATAAAATGATACAAAAATTCTTTAAGGAGTTATTGCCTCTTCTTCCAAATTGTGGAATTCCAACAACTGTGATGTATCTTTTGTGATACGCACATGTGTGAGAAGACTCATTTAGAATCTAGTACTAAAATACATCAGTCTCCTCATATTTACTGGTCCCATCTCAGCACAAACAACTCTAGACTAGCGAGGCCACACCAGTGTTCAAACCAAGCTTTGCCACATCATAACCATGCCCCAGGATGAGACAGTCTTTCTGTTCTTTGGTTTTTAATATTTTTTAAATGGGCATAATAATACTGTCTTCAGAGTCTTTTGGGGTGGGGGCAGGTGAGGATGAGTTAGTGTAATATGGATGGAAAGCTGGAGCTCTGCAGCTTGCAAGCCAGCACAAAATAAATTCCTCCTGCCTGCCCATCTCTCCCTGTCCCCTTTCAGTTCCGCTTCAGGCAGCTTGTTTCATAGCTTTCTGCATCTCCCATGAAAGAAGCACATTCCACAGTCTCTGACATGAGAGAATTTACTATCTCTTTAAAGAAACAAGAATAACCTCCCAAAACAGAAGCAAAACACCACCACATCCTGCCCTTGAGGAAGCGCCATGTCCCTAAGGGCTTGAGGAGCTGACTACTGGTTAAGCAGTCACCAGGCCCTGCTCAGCCAGGCATCTGAAGACCGTGGTGTTCTATGTTCTAAAATGCATCCCAGAGGCTCATTTACATATTCATCAGGAAGTAGCAATTGAGGGTCTGCCACCCAGATTTGGGCCCACCTGTCCCCCTGTCTCATGGGAAGACAGATTAGCACAAAAATATAATCCAGAGTGATGAGTGCAGTGGGGATAGAGCTGGATCTAACACCAACCTCCATCTGCTTCTGTTTCCTGAGCTTATTCCATGAAAAATAAAAAAAAAAAAAAAAAAAACCCCACACAGAATTTTTTTTTTTTTTTTTTTTTTTGAGACAAGAGTCTCACTCTGTGGCCCAGGCTAGAGTGTAGTGGCCTGATCTCGGCTCACTGCAACCTCCGCCTCCCAGGTTCAAGCGATTCTCCTGCCTCAGCCTCTAAAGTAGCTGGGACTACATGTATGCACCACCATGCCAGGCTAATTTTTGTATTCTTGCAGAGACAGGATTTCACCATGTTGGCCAGGCTGGTCTCAGACTTCTGACCTCAAGTGATCCACTCACTTCAGCCTCCCAAAGTGCTGGGATTACAGGCATGAGCCACCATACCCAGCTGAAACGCAGAATTTTCCAAGTTAATTAGCCCCAAGTGACAGAGCCACCCACAAGTTTGCCAGGCACTGTGTTATTATTGTGTGGATGCCCCCAGCTCGAGGTGCAGATTGTCTGGGAAAGCCCTGAACCCTCTCCCCTCAGCAATGGGCATAAGGCTATGCCACCTGAGCGGGGGACCCAAGAGATGGACCAGCAGTCCCCTCCTCTCTGCCCCCTGGAAGTTCCACAGGAAAAACAACATCCTAAGGCACCAGCGATCGTGCAAGAACAAAGCTTCAAGGTCAAGGTTCTTTGCATTTCCTCTTCCCTTGCTCCACCCAAGTCTTCATCTCTGTGAAGTGATGTGCAGCTGCTGTGCTTGGAAACAAATTTAATTCTGACATAAAAGGACGTGTTTGTGTCTTGCTTAGTTTCAAAGGTGAAGTCAATAAACATCGATGATACAGCCACCACGGACAGGAATAATGCTCCCCAGGGCCCCTTCTAATTATCGGCTGTTAAATTTTGTACTCTGCCTTGAGTGAATGTGAGCAGTTACTCTGTTAAATTAATGGAAAAACTGTCCAAAGTTTGAGATAATTAATAGTTTTTCTTTTACAATATTCTGTAATACGAGACAATGAGATGATTTTTTAAAAAACAAAGAACTTCAAATTTTAAAAAATAACTGCAAATATCCTCACTATGGAGGTTGGTTTTCCTGCTCCTGGAAGCCAGGTGTCCTTGTTCATCTCCACTGCGGTGGAATTCATGATTCCCTGGGACTGTGACACGAGGTCTTCCCAGGACATGCTGTTACCAGAGAGGAAGCCAGGAAACAGAAAGAGCAGGGAAGAGTTCATCTGGGGGGAAAAATGTGAAGCATTTATTAAAACTCGGCTTTATGTGATTCCAAATTTGAGAGAAGAAAGACATTTACAGACTCAGCAGCAACCACTATCCGCCATCAGACACCTCAAAATATTACTCAGATATTTCAGATGTATCAAAATTCTCAAATATATAAATTTTTTACTCACCAAACATGAAACAATGTCTATTGATCATTCAGAAATTTTGAGGACACACAAGGACTATGAGTTTAAAACAAAATATGAAGAATATAATTTACTAAATTGCTAGTAAAGCACAAGTCTCTCTCTCTCTCTCTCTCTCTAACACACACACACACACACACACACACACAGAACCCACACCCCATACCAACATCATTGCCCCCTTAGAAGATGTTTAATCCGTGTTCTTAACCATATTATACAGTTTCACAAACTTGGTCACAGCTCTGAATAATGGAAATAACTCCATTAATCTTGGGAAGCTTTAGAGAATTCTGCAAATGTGGTGGGATTTTAATTAACTCTAGTAAGCGCAGGACGGCCCTGGCTCTGTTCTTTTGCTGCTTACATGGCAGTGTCCACCCAACCAGGACGCCACACATGGCCCATCCAACCGCACCAGCATACGTGGTGGTAAACTTGGTCTTCCTGACAAAAAAGGACAGCCAGCTCACAGAGCAGCAGAGAGCGTGACCCAGTCAGGGACCCCAGATCTGCTTATTCTGCCTTTGGGAAGAGGGCCAAGCCCCTTCCTGTACCGCTGCTGCTTCTCTCAGACCCTAGGTTGATTATTCTGCATCTGAGTCTCTGCTTGGGTAAAAAGAGCAGGATAGGGGAGCATAGGGACCACGCCATCAGACATGGGCCACAAATATCTTCAAATGAAAAAGCAGTTTGTGGCCTGTCATAGAGTGCAGATTCATTTCTGCACAATGTTTGTGTGTGTGTGTGTGTGTGTGTGTTATACATATCTGTGCATTTAAAATAAATTCTGGAGGAATATTACCAAAATGTAATTAATGGTTATGGCTCTGAGGCACAATTTTAGGTTGCTTTACATTTTTGTTTTACTTTGATATTTAATTTTTTTTTTTTTTTTTTTGAGACGGAGTTTCGCTCTTGTTACCCAGGCTGGGGTGCAATGGCGCAATCTCGGCTCGCCACAACCTCTGCCTCCTGGGTTCAGGCAATTCTCCTGCCTCAGCCTCCCAAGTAGCTGGGATTACAGGCACGCGCCACCATGCCCAGCTAATTTTTTGTATCTTTAGTAGAGACGGGGTTTCACCATGTTGACCAGGATGGTCTCGATATCTTGACCTCGTGGTCCACCCGCCTCGGCCTCCCAAAGTGCTGGGATATTTAATGTTTTAATGAGCAGGCATTAGCTCTGAAGACAGAAAAAAAATGTTTAAAAAAATTTTAAAGAGCAAATATGCAAAAAAACACCATTTTTACATATGATCAGACATGGTTTTATTAATGGCAAAGTGAGTTACTAAAAATGAGATTCTCCCGAAGAAGTAGAAGCGAGACCCTGTGCATTTCCTCCCATCCCCATCTTTTACTCCAAAATGAATAAAGCATAGTTCATAGGATCCCAGTTTTTAAGGATGCTAATTTTCCTTTAGCTTTGACATGAAGTTGTTTGTTTAATGAATCAGAAGAACTAATGCATTTAATGTGGAAAACCTGATTACAATTTATGTGGGATTTTTTGTTCGTTTTTGTGAGTTAAACACTGGACTCTCAGTTTTCTGTTCTTTTTTCATGTAATAGTCCATAAACGGTTGTATTCGACCACGTCATTCAATGTCAGATCATACGCATTTTCTCACATTGTCCACAAAGTCTTCAGAAACATTTTAACAGCTATAATGTGGGACGCCAGGTGATTTGGCCTCTTGCTTATCATTGGCCTTTTAGGTCATTCATCGGCTATTAGAAAGAATCATTTATTCCTCAACTCATTCATTCACAAATCCAACGAATACCTCTTGAGCACTCGCTCTGCCCCAGGCCCTGTGCTAAGCACCGATGGACCATCTGACACAGTCTCCCCAGCTGAGGACAAATGTCAACCAACCAGCAGCTGCCACCACACACCAAGTTTATTGCTTTGGTGAAGAAGCAGAGTTTGACAAGAGGTTAGATGTTGAGACCCTGGCTGTTAGAGGATGAATTGTGTCCATCCTCCTGGATTCATCGGGTGAAGTCCTAACCCCCAGTACCTGACAGTGGAATTGGAATTTGTGACTAGGGTCATGGTAGATTGATTCAGTTAAGTGAGGTCATCAGGGTGGGCCCTAATCCATTGAGACTGGTGTCCTTATGAAAGGGGGAAATTTGGACACACACAGATGCACACACAGAAAGGAAACCATGTGGACGTGAAGATGGCCTTCTACAAGCCCAGGAGCGTAGGTGGGAATAGATCCTTCCCTCAGAGCCTCAGAAGGAACCCACCCCTGCTGACACCTTGACCTTGGACCTCCAGCCTCTGGAACTAGGAGAAAACTCATACCTGTTGTTGGTGCCACCCAGTCTGTGGGACTTGGTTTTGGCAACCATAGAAGGAGGCTTCTCTGGGGAAGTGACATTAGGCTGTGACCTGGATGATGAGAGGGAATCACCAGAAAAGTAAAGGGAGTGGTGTGTGCCCAAAGGAGGCCAGGCTCTAAGTCATCCAGGGATGATGGGCTCGTGAAGGATGTTGGGTATTATTCTATGGTCAATGAGCCAGGAAGTGACTTGATCAGGGTGGCCTTTGTATTCAGAGTTCCACAAAATATGAAAGAAATCACTCTTGCTTTTTGAGAAGAAAGGTATCTAATACAGAGAATTATCTGCTTACAAGTCATTAGATGGCCTGGAGGAGCAGGCCATGTCCTGGGTCTCAAAGAGGGATTCCTAGAACATCGCAGCAGAGCTCACCCACCAGGGGAGCCACTACCTCTGCTTCAGTGAGGAAGCTGGGGAATCAGAAGATGAGCTACACCTGCTGGCCTCAGAGCACAAGGTACAGGTAGCAATCCACCTTCCACAGGCCACGGCTGAAACCAGATCTGCACTGCACCTGCTGGAGCCACACCTGTTAGACCCACACCTGCTGGAGCCACACCTGTTAGACCCACACCTGCTGGAGCCACGCCTGTTAGACCCACACCTGCTGGAGTCACACCTGTTAGACCCACACCTGCTGGAGCCACGCCTGTTAGACCCACACCTGCTGGAGCCACACCTGTTAGACCCACACCTGCTGGAGCCACGCCTGTTAGACCCATACCTGCTGGAGCCACACCTGTTAGACCCACACCTGCTGGAGCCACGCCTGTTAGACCCACACCTGCTGGAGTCACACCTGTTAGACCCACACCTGCTGGAGCCATACCCGTTAGACGCACTCCTACTGGAGCTACATCTGCCAGACCCACACCTGCTGAAGCCACACCTGTTAGACCCACACCTGCTGAAACCACACCTCCTAGACCCATGTCTACTAGAGCCAAACTCATTAGACCTGCACCTGCTAGAGCCACAGCCCCTATACCTGCACCTGCTGGAACCACCTGCAGAAGTGAACACCTGCACCCTGCCACCTCTCCCTGCCTCGCTCTGCGCTAGCTCAGATCACCTACGTCTGCCTTAAGCAGAGCCTAAGTTGGAATCTACAGTTTATGGAGTCTAGGAAATACAGTCCTCACCTTTCCAGCCTTTGCTGGAGAGAAAGCCACACTGGGAGGAGGTTGGAAAAGATGTTGAATACACTAAAGTACTGCAGTGCATCCTTTTCAAAAGATCACTTTGGTGTTTATATAGAAACTGGATCAGAGGAGGCAAAGGTGGAGGAGGGAGTCTGGGTAGAAGACAGCTGTAATAGCCCAAGTGAGAGATGGTGGTTGGTCAGGCTAAAAGGGCAGGGGGGATGGAGACGAGAGATCAAAGCTTACACTCTGAAGGTACCATCCAAAGTCTTTGCTTGGGGCTCCCAGGCCCTGGAGACTCCACTCCTACCTTCTTCTCTGGCCTCATCTCGCTCTTCGCTGTGAGCTCCAGCCACATTCACACTCTTCCTGCTCTTTGAACCACACAAGCTTGTTCCTACTTTAGAGCTTTTGTCCAGGCTGTTTCCCCAATCTTGGCTGCACTGCCTGGAAACTTTCGCATGACTGATTGCTTCTTATCAAATCCCAGATTAAATGTCACATCTTCCAAGAGGCCTCCTCTGACCACACGGTTTAAAGTAACCTTCAGCAAGTCTATATATCACACTGCCTGTTTTTTAAAAACACTGCATACTAAAGTGGTATTTTCTTATTTGCCCTCCGAGCAGAAGCTCCATAAGTCTGTTCATCTCTATGCCTTCTGAGCCTAGACAAGTGCCTGGCACACAGTAGACACTCAGTAAACATTCACAGATGGCTATAAGGTGTGGGAGGTGAGAGAGGAGGTGCCGAAGATTGACACTCAAGTTGCTGGGCCAGAAAACTGTGTAGATCATGACGCCACAGAGATTCCATGGAAAATAGGACAAACAGTGTTTGGGGAAGACAGGAATAAGGGATTTAAGTTTTCGACAAGTTAGGCTTGAAGTCCCTGTGGGGTGGTTGGAATAATGCCCCCCAAAGATGTCTCCCTCCTACTCACCAGAACCTGTGAATATGTTGCCTATCATGACAAAGGGAACTTTGCAGATGTGACTGAGTTAAGGTCCTTGACATGGGGTATTATCCAGGTGAGCCTAATGTAATCACAGGGTTCTTATATGAGGGAGGCAGGAAACTCAGAAATGGAGAGAGAGGTGTGATGGAAGCAGTGGTGAAAGTGACGCAAGGAAGGGGCCACAAGCCAAGGAATGTGGGCAGTTGCTTTTCTCCTGTGTTTTCCCCAAAGCCTCAGAATCCTCCTCAACTTAGTGGTGTCAAAGGACATTTGCCCAGGGATGCACGACCATATCATGGCTGCAAGGGAAGCTCTGCGAGTTCCCGGAATTTCTCTGCCTCTATTTCGGGAGTGGCCTCTCCCAGCCTGGAAGAGGTGTTCCCATACCTCCTGTGCACAGGTCCTGCTGTAGCCTCAGTATTTTTCATACCTGCTCGCATGAGCTTTATAGAGTAAGGATATTAACTCTTCCTCTGTCATCATGTGGCAAGTACTGTTTCATTTTTTGCTTTTTCATTCTATTCATGGTCATTTTGCCTTTTCTGCTTTTAAGGTGCTGAATGGACTCAGTGATTCCTTAGGAGATGAAAAAAAGCTGTGTGCTCCCCCTTCTTCTCTCAGGAAATGCCAAGAAAAATCCATCTCGGGACAGGATGGGCTCCTGTGCTGCACTATAAGGCACCTTCCCATACTAGTGCATGACTCTACAGGAACCCTTACTATTCTCCAAGGTCTTAAAGGCTTGAACCCATCTAGGGCAGGAGACCTAACCTTAGCTCTTAAGACACTATTCAGGGGGAGGAACATGGTGCTGAGAAGGACAGGCATTAGAAGACAGAGTGTTCCACTCTGAGGCATAGCCCTTTCCATCCACCTTCTCCGCACCACCCAAGGGGATCTGCCTTCACTTCACATGGCTGTGACCCTTACAGCTACAACTTGAATCCTTCGCACAGTGTTCATTCTGCCTCAGAAGTATCTGAAGAACTTTCGCATATGCCTGGTCACCTCCGAAGTCTGGAAGCTCTTGGGAATAAGGATCGCATCTTCTCCCTTGGGATTTCCCAAGCACCTAACATCTATGAGGCTCTCCTGCAGCAGCCTTTTCACGCCTGCAATGAAAGCTCATGATCACCTCCCCTGCAACACACACACGTACACACACACATGCACACGCGCGCGCACACACACACGTATGCATAGTTGTTTTTTAATCTTTCAGTTGTCAGGACCTGGAGGTGAGCTCCCAGGGCTCACACCTAACCCCTGTTTCAGGGCCAGACAATTCCCACGGTCCTTTTGCAACTGGCCCGGGACAGAAACCCCACCTTTGGGGCCCACTTCTGCTTCCTGGTCCTCAACCAGAACACAGATGCTTTCTTCTGTTCATCTGTCATTTTTGATCTGTCTGAACTTTGAATGCTTGTGATTCCAGAGTATTGGATGCCTGCCCGATCAATCTCAGATTTCAAATCAAAACCCATTTGTAAAGGCCTCACACAGTTGTTCTACTTCTAAACCCAAGCTTACCCAGGTCCTTTCACATGAGAGGTGATAACTTTTTTTAAGGGACACAGACAAACAGCATCTTTGAGTTCCCTAAGGGGAGAGCTTGACAGATAAAAGGTGCTTATTCCTTGTCATGTGGTTGTTTGCAGTTAGGCCTTTGGTTAAATTTTGGTGAATGGTTTAACAACCAATTACAAAAGATAAATGAGGTTAGCACTGTTATATAAAAGGACAAACCTCAGACAGAACTCTAATCCTCTACTGTAATCTGCTTTTCTGAGCCTTGAATCCAAAGATCTGAAAGTCTTGTGGCTCCCATCATGAGGATGAGATGTTCCAAGGCAGTCCACCGAGCTAGTCCCATTTCAGTGAGCTGCCACCTGCAATGCACCTGCTCACCAAACCCCACCTCCTCCCCGCCACCCCACCTCATTAAACCAGCACCACTTTGTCTCCGAAAGGCTTCTCAGACCTGTCTCCTCTGCCCCACTCCCACCAATCATGCCTCAGTTCCTTCTCTTTTTTTTTTTTTTTGTTGAGACAGAGGCTGAGTCTGGCTCTGTCTCCAGGCACCAGGCTGGAGTGCAGTGGTGCAATCTCAGCTCACTGCAACCTCCACCTCCCAGGTTCAAGCAATTCTCCTGCCTCAGCCTCCCCAATAGCTGGGACTACAGGTATGTGCCACCACGTCCAGCAAATTTTTGTATTTTAGTAGTGACAGGGTTTCACCATGTTGGCCAGGATGGTCTCGATCTCTTGACCTTGTGATCCGCCCACCTTGGCCTCCCAAAGTGCTGGGATTACAGGCGTGAGCCACTGCGCCCAGTCAGTTCCTTCTCTTCTTGTCACACTAGGATTATGACAAAGGGATCCTGTCTCTCTCTCCTCTCCCTCCCCCTCTCCCTCCCCTCCCCCTCCCCCTCTCCCTCCCCTCCCCTCCCCCTCCCCGTCCCCCTCCCCCTTCCCCTTCCTCTCCCTCTCCCTCTCCTTCCCCCTCCTCCTCCCCCTCCCCCTCCCCCTCTCCCTCCCCTCCCCCTCCTCCTCCCCATCCCCCTCCCCCTCCCCCTTCCTCTCCCTCTCCCTCTCTTTCATCTGTGTATGATGTTCCTGGTGGATTGCGCTATAAACAAACCTCCTTCACATTCTCAGGAACCCCCTAAGCACCTCCAGGATGCAAGGCTGATCCAGGGACCCACCAGCCTCTGCCCACCCTCCCGGGCCCCCACCCCACAAACAGCTCACAGGATGTGCATGACTGGCTCCTGTTGGAGTTACACCAGCGACTCTCTCTGCCTGTGTTTTAAAATATAGGTCATATTATTTTTCAGGTATGGTGAGGCCAATAGATCAGGAGACGACTGCTACTGAAAAGATCTCTGCAACAGATCCCAGGACGGGGTGGGCTCACCTCGCCACACAGGAAGCACCAGGGTTGCCTGGTGGCAGAGGCAGCAGGGAATATGTGGGCAAGAGCCTTTCGTGTGGTTTCCATGGGAAGGAGCGGGTGAGGGGGAGTGAGCAGGCTCAGGATTAGCTGGCTTGAGTGATTGCAGAGAGCTGGGGGGTGCACACAGGCACTGCCCCCAGCTGCTCAGTGTCTGGCTCTGGGGTGATCAGGGCAGGGGACTAGCACCCTGGAATGGGAGAGCTCACGCTTGCTTCTGGCTGCATCGTTTGCTTTCTCTAAGAATCAGCTAACCCATGGTAGGGGCAGTCCCTTCCAGGTCAGCAAGTCCCCAGATGTCAAAGCATCCAGTACAGAGATTAGAAAACATGGTTCACAAAGCCTGGAGCATCTTTTCTTCAGCCCTGGCAAGGGGTGGGCAGCATGGCACTGCAGAGGCTCAGGCAGCTCCCATGGCAGGCTAGCCAGATGCCCTCTCTGAGCCTTGGTTCCCCTTCTATAGAGGAGGTCAAGAGACAAGAGGAGGGGGGCATGCCCAGCACAGTGCTTGGCACATGGCACTGAGTGTCAGTGTCCCCCCTTCCACCTGTGTCCTTCCAAGAAACAGCGGAGCGGCTCCTTACCTAGGGAAGTGCTTCTGCTCTTCTGTCTGGGTTCTTTGCTCCCCTCAGGCACTGCCCTCTATTGCAGCACTTGCCATGCTAGATTGGATGTGGCTGTGTCTGTCTATCGCCTCCGCTGGACACAGGGAGGGCAGGAACAGGTTATCCACATCTGAATCCCAAGGGCCCATCACAGAGCCTGGGTCTTGGTTCAAGAGGCTTGCTCAGCTAACATTTGCAAAGTTTCACCATCTCCCAAAGGAATGTTCCCCGTGGGCCCACGTGAGGACAGGCCTCCTGCTTCCTCCTCCCGAGTCCTCACTACTTTCCTCTGCATGAAGTCAGACCATGCCATTAGCACCACTGGGCCTCAATTGGCCAGCACAAGCTGGAGTGGCCGCATCTCAGCTCGGGAACTGATTTCCCAAGTACACCCCAGCATGTGTGCACACCAGAGACACCTGGAGTGCTCCTGCTAATGAGGAAAGCCGCCGTGCCGCACCTGCTGGGAAATGAGAACCTCTCTTCTCACCTCTGCCTTCCCAGCAGAATCCCTGGTGCAAGCCTGGACAGCTGGCTCCCGCACTGTCCTGGAAGTGCTGCCCCCAGTAATGGCCCATGCTTCTCCAGACTGAAGCCAGCCAGGTTTTATTGATGATCTCAGTGCGTAGGAACAGATGGCATAGAACGTAGCAAGGAAGAGCTACCTCATTTTTAACAATGCTTAATGAGAAACTGCCATTAACTGCATATAGGCTCCATATAACCAGCTGAGTGCTGAGTGCTGAATGCCGAGTACTGAGTTCCAAGTGCTGAGTGCCAAGTGCTGAGTGCCGAGTGCCGAGTGCTGAGTGCCTAGTACCGAGTGCCGAGTGCTGAGTGCCGCCCAGCCCAGCCCTTCTTAGGCTTTCTTACCTCTGCCCCCTG